AGGATTTCCATCCTTATTTCCCTCTTGCAACCGGATTTCTTCCTCAATCCGGATGTGAGAAGCCAAACTCTCAAGGTTAACATCATCCTTCCTATGCTTTAAACCACTTTTAAAGTCTTTCCAAGAAAAAGGTAACTTGTCTATTATAGATGACACTACAAAGGTCTCATCAAGAACTATGTTATGCTGTCTAAGACTTCCTAAAATTCTTTGTATCTCATGAAATTGCTCCATAATAGGCCTACTATCAATAATTTTATAATTATTAAATTTACTAACAAGAAACTTCTTGCTAGAAGCATCTTCAGCCATATATTTAGCCTCTAATTCATCCCATAGAGACTTAGCAGAATCATTAAACTGATAGATATCAAAGAGTTCATCAGACATACCGTTGATAATGTGACCACAACAAATATAATTGTCATTCTCCCATTTGCTGCGTTTCCTTGCTTCATCAATTGTTTCCTCCTCCTTTTCTTCGGGTTTTGGAGTAGCAAGAACATAAGCCACCCCAACTGTAGTCAAGAAGAAATGCATCTTCCTCTGCCACCTTCGGAAATCAACATCTTCGAATTTGTCCAACTTTTGAATGTTGGCCATTAATTCCTTAACATTTGCCATCTTTGTCAATTATACTTTTGGATTGTTGGGGAATTTGTGTATGAACAAGGGTCACAAAAATAGCAAACAATTAAACCGGAAAACTTCGAGGCGTGAACGGAATCACTTTTCCAAAAGTATAATTCCGACCCTAAACTACAACCGGGTTTTCACGGAAATTTACTTAGGTGATACAACGAAGAAACAATTGCAATCACAAGTAGGATGATTACAATTCAATGTATAAAGCTTGTGTAATTATGATGATGATAATTAGGAAATTGCAAAAGGTTTTTAAGAAAAATAAATCTGATTTTTCTTAAGCCTCTCCCAACATATGTTCAAGAACATATATATATACAAGCAAGAAATACTCCAACAGTCACAAGTATAACCGTCAAAAAACAGGGAAGAAAGAGAAAACCGTCAGCCATACAAAGCAGGCATGACACATGCCCGATCGGACCTACCACCGCCCGATCAGGCCAACTGAAACGTCAGACATCAAGTCCCCTCGGGCCCGATCGGGCGGTGGAGACCCGATCGGGCAACTTCCCAAATTCCAGAACTCGAGTTTCGTCTCCTTCTCGCGCCCGATCTGGCGGTGGCTGCCCGATCGGGCGGCGGAGAGGAAGAATTTTCCAGCCACCCTCGCGCCCGGTCGGGCGAGCACCACCCTGACCGGGCAACAAAACAGGGGCATCATCACTGTCTTCCAAAACAGAATTTCTCATTGCTGAGAACTCTAAGCTTCCTTTAATGTATTACTTGCTATAATATTCTTTATTAATTATATACAACACCTTTGCCTAAGTAATATAATTAATTAACATGGGTTTGTCTAAATTCTCAAAATTAATCAACACTAATTAGGTAGTAAGCATTATTAATCAGAAATCTTGCCAATCAATTCAAACCACAAAGGTGATTTAGGGATTATTAAACAAGTTTCATATGTTTATATATGTAACCAGGGAATGATTGAATAAATCAGTATTTGATTACAGATTCTAAACAACAAGTAATAAGAGTGAGCGGAGTACAATAAAATAAATACTCTATTACAATTCAAACTTACTCACAAAAAAATTAGTACCCAAAGCCCACAACTACACAAACTAACGCAAATAATGAGTGAAACCCAAAAACTTCCCTGCTCACCTAAGTATAACTTCACTAGTGGAATTGTTGGGTTTGTCTATTGTTACTCCATGTAGTTGTTATATGGAGAATTTATGAATTTAGGCTCTGTTCACATTTACTAAAATGAGTTGAAATGATTGGAGCTGAACAGAGTTAAAATGGATATTTTATGAGAGAGATTGAACTTAGGAGCTAAACTGAATTGAACAAAAATTAAGTTGAAGTGAACATACCCTTAATACACCACTTGCCTTTTAAAAAGTATTATAAATATTACATCATTTCTATTTTAGAAAAAGAAATATTTGTATTTACACTACAAATACCAAATATGAACAATATACTCCCTCCGTTTTTTTTATATGCATCAACTTTCTTTTATGGGTGTTTTTTTTTTATATGCATCACTTCTATATTTGGTAAAGTTATACTATATTTTATTATTTCTCTCTCTTACTTTAAACTCCACTCAAATTATTTTATCATTTGTCTCTCTTCTATGTCTCCACTTAAATAAAAAAATATCTATTCTCTCTCACATACTTTCTCTTTCATGGTCCCCATCATACTTTTATTATAATAATTTATTCACCCACTCATAATATTATATTTATGTCCTAAAACTATGTGCATTCCCAAGTAATACATATAAAAAAAAACGAAAGGAGTAGTATTTTTACCTTTCTCTATCATTTTTTTCTACTATCAACGTGTTCAATTCTCATATAATCATATTGCAATAAAAAAAAAATAGAGTACAAGTATCTAACAAGACATTCATTAAATTATGTTAATTACGTAGTAATTTAAGAAGAAAGAGAAAACAAGAATGATTATAGCCGTCAGAAGAAGAGGACGTCATGCAATCACGTCAGTTTAATAAAGCTTGATAGCCTACCCTCTATCATCTGTCATGTAAGGATAGGCTGCTACCCTAATTAATTATCATAATTAATTATTTTTTTTCACAGCTTTGACATTCAATATCAAATTAATAACGAATATACCATTTTAATTTGCACTCCAATTCTTTTGTAGCATTTTGCTACCAAAGTAAGAGTACTACGAATTCATTTAACTTGTAGATAGAGGCATACAGCCATAGAGGTATAGTGTTGGGTGAGGTTAGGTCAAGTCTATTTTTAAACTTGAATTACTCTAAATTACTGTCTACGTGAATTAAAATTTGAATCGGGATATTTTTTTGAGTCAGCTCAATTCTAGTTTTGACACCTTTACTTGTAGGTTGTAGATGTAACTTTCATTTCAAAACAATTGTGTTACACACTTATACTACATCCGTCTCTGAAAGTTTGACTCACTTAGCTCAGTTCAGTTCAGGTAAGCTCCAGTAAGTTCAGTTCAGCTCTAATCAGTTCAGTTCAGCTCTTTTCAGTAAATGTGAATAGGCCCTTAGTCTAAGTAATGGAAACTTGACTCTATTTTAATGAAATATTTGCCAATTACTACTGCAAGTTAATATCACTTTGTAAATTACTACCGCGAATTAAAAAAGTTATGAATTACTACCGCAATTTTTTTTAAGATGTTGCGATTACTACCACACCCCCATTAAACCCAACTATGACGTCATTATAGCTCTTTAAACCATGGTTAAAGCCCTTAACCATGGTCAAACATGGGTTAAATCCCTTAACCATGACATCATTATATCACTAACCCATTTTTTTTTGGTTGTTTAAAGCCCTTAACCATGGTCAAACATGGGTTAAAGTGATATAATTAATGACGTCATAGTTGGGTTAAATGGGGGTTTGGTAGTAATCACAACATCTTAAAATTTTTTGCGGTAGTAATTCATAACTTTTTTAATTTGCGTTAGTAATTTACAAAGTGGTATTAACTTGCGGTAGTAATTGACAAATTTTCCTATTTTAATTAATGTTTTTTTTATATTCAAGGAAAATTTGTCAATTACTACCGCGTAATAATGTCACTTTGAAAATTACTACCGAGAATTAAAAAACTTGTGAATTACTGCCGTAAAAAATTTTAAAAATTTGATTTTACTACCAAACTCAACTTAAAACCATCTATGACGCCACTTTTACCTCTTAAACCACGTTTAACCTTTGATTAACTATTTAAACGACAAAAAAAGGAAAAATTGCCCGCAATAATCCGACCTTTTGACCGTCCGCTGAAAATAATCCCACCTTTGGATTATTTTTTAATAATCCCACCTTTACCCACTAGTAGAAAAATGTACATTTGCGTCGCCATATTTGAGTCACTCATTCTAAGGAGCGAAGCAAATGTTTTATTTTACCTTCCTTTTAAATTATTTGCTCGCATATTATTTAAGAAGCGACGCAAAACTCAAGTGCATTTCAGCTTTCTATCATTTGCGTCGCTCTTATTTATTAAAGCGACGCAATTAATAAACTTATTTGCGTCACTCATTAGTTAGCAGGTGACGCAAATAAGTGATTAAGTAAATTGCGTCACTCTTTTACTAATGAGCGACGCATATGTACATTGTACAACATTATAAACAAGGTTATTTGCGTCGCTTTTTTATAATAAAGTGACGCAAATAACTCTTTTGGCTTTAGGTTTTTCTACGTTTTTTACCTTAGTTTTTCATCAGGTACCTACATTCACTATACAAAAAGAAAAAAAAAACAAGAGTTCTTAAATTCCAGCGAATTTCTACAGCAAAACACCCACAAATTTGTCTCTGAAATCCAACAAATTCGGCCAAAAACTTGCGTTTCCCCAGCAAATTTAACATCTGAAATCGTAGTGAAGTCGAAGACCCATAATCGGCTGCAAATTCGAGCAATTTCGAGCAAAAATTTAGACCAAAAACCCTAAGAAATTCGAAGCCTTAAACCCAGAAAAATTGATTGTTTCCGACCAAAAATCCCCCATTTCGAGCAAAAAATCAACTCAAAAGCATACAAATTCGAACCCTAAGAGCCCCAAAAAATTCAATTTCGGTCTTCAAGTTCGATTGGGGGATTTCGTGGGGGGATTTCTAGGGTTTTTGGCAGCGACGCAATATACCCTAAGAAATTCGTCCCATTTCAGTCATAAATAATTTTTGTTTGAATTTCAGTTAAGAAATTACAGCAACAATAGGTTAAGTCAAGAAATTACAGCAACAATAATTGTTTGAATTACGTCTTTTTCTGGGTTCAAGTCAAGAAATTACAGCAACAAAAATTCGAGCAATAACTGAAATTTTCGAGTGGAAAAATCGCTTAATTTCGCCCCAAACAACCCGAGGAAGTTCAAGCAAATTACGGCAACAACAATTGAAGTTCGATTTCGGCTCGACATTGTTGAATTTTTGAAGTCAATTCCACCTATGGTAAGATTGCTTCTATTTATGTTCAATCTTTTCTTGGTTTAAGGCTTCGAATTCGGGGAAGATTAATGAGTGTGCTGAGTAAGCTTAATTTGCAAACTTTGGCTATTCTTACATGATTCATAATTATTGTGTCTCTGCTTGGTAATTTTGCAAACTTTGATTTAAGTTATTACTGCCTTAATCTATTCTAGTCTAGTACAAATGTACATTACTTGATGATTTAAGTTATTACTGCCTTAATTGCAATTAAAAGTCCATTATGATCTCGGGTTTAGTCATTGAAGCATGCTGAACGAGCACTTCAGTCGAGTGATACATTGTTATGTCTATCTTAGTTGTAATTAGACTAACAGATGTTTAAGGTTTACGTGCTCGCATTTGTAAGCATTGAAAAGTCGATATCCATCATACATACTGTCATGCAGCTTGATTATTGCTGGTATGCTGTTCAACATACCTTAAGAGCATGGTTCAACCCCTAGCCTAAGATCTGCCTTTTGGTCCAAACTTAACTTTTCCGGCAGTTGGAAATTGAACCTTTTTAGAACTTGGACCACAACAAGCAATTCAAGAATTAACATGAAAATATAAATATAAATATAAATATAAATGGAAGTATAAAATGTCAGTGTAATCATTGAAGTGTAGCAAACTTAAAATTTACTGTAATGAAGCTTTAGGTGTCGGCTCCTGTAATGGTCTTCACATATTCATCAGTTCTGTAAGACCTTTTTGTTTTGCTGGTATTAGAAATTTAGTTTAAACCTTTATTGAAAAGGAGGCAATGTCAGTATTTCTTACTCAACTAATGTTATGACTATTTGGCTAATAATGAAAAATAGTGTAAATGTACTTTTTTAACTAGTGGTTTTGAGTGATGATGGTTTTTAACTTGTTTTTAAACCTAGTATCAAGTTTTCTTATCTGTTAAGCTACTTTTGAAGGCCTAAATCTGGAGGAAAAAACCCAGAATTATTATTATTATTATTTTCAATTTTTTTTTTTGTAAGTCTCAAGCATGAACAACTGTCATCTCCGATTCATTAAAATGGAGAATCCGTATGTTCCCTTGTAAATGGTTGAATAAAAGGAAGTTATTGTGAATCAAATGATCATTGATAAAACAATTAATACATATGAAATTATATAAGGGAATGGTGTTGTATGCATTGCTTTTTATCTTAGTCTAGGGCTACCGAGGTAGATTCTAAAACATTGCTAATTGCAGATCATTTGATCCTTACGCTCAGTCTCAAGCATGAACAACTGTCATCTCCGATTCATTAAAATGGAGAATCCGTATGTTCCCTTGTAAATGGTTGAATAAAAGGAAGTTATTGTGAATCAAATGATCATTGATAAAACAATTAATACATATGAAATTATATAAGGGAATGGTGTTGTATGCATTGCTTTTTATCTTAGTCTAGGGCTACCGAGGTAGATTCTAAAACATTGCTAATTGCAGATCATTTGATCCTTACGCTCAAGTAAAAATTGATATGTACTGTAATACACTTTGGTTATGCATGACATATTCATCCTTTGTTACATTAATTCACTTATGATTCTAGTCTATTAGCCGCTTCATCTATATATACTGCTTGGTTAGTTCTCATCTGGAAATATTTTTTTCTTATTGATTTCTAAATTTTGGTTGGTTTAAATCTTGGCAGTACTTGGATGAAAACAAGTCTTTGATTCTGAAGATTGTGGAAAGCCAGAATTCGGGGAAGATTAATGAGTGTGCTGAGTAAGCTTTATTTGCAAACTTTGGCTATTCTTACATGATTCATAATTGTGTCTTTGCTTGGTAATTTTGCAAACTAGTGCGAAATGGTTAGTACTCTAGTTTTTAAGGCAATTGGGTCAGATTAATTATCAATTTTATCATACTGATCCGTTCTTTCATTGTATGGTTAAAGGTGGTATGCAAAACGATTTCTACATCCTGACATTGTGGCACCATATGATTACATATTTATCTGGGACGAAGATTTGGGAGTGGATAATTTTGATTCTGAAAAGTTAGCACTCTTTCTGCATCATATCCTCTAATGTCTTGAGCTATTCAGTACAGAACTTTTGTCATTTTTTTTATTGAATTTTCAGATACGTTGATTTGGTTAAGAAACATGGTTTGGAAATTTCACAGCCTGGTGTGGATCCTAATAGTCCGTTTACATGGCAGATGACAAGGAAAAGACATGACAGTTGGAGTTGTATTATACGTTGATTTGGTTAAGAAACATGGTTTGGAAATTTTATGGGTAGGCCAAATTACAAAGGAGACTCTGCCGAAATTTACATTTGCATTATTCAATAATGTTGCATTTTAATTTCAATTATATTAGCGTTAGCATATTACTTTATACCTAGGAAAACAGGTACTACAAACATATACAAGGCAGTTATTATATTATAATTAAAAAAAAAAATTCACCTCATTTGTGTCACTCATTAAACAAACAAGTGACGCAAATACAACAGTTTTGTATTGTCTACTCAGTCATTTGCGTCACTCCTATATAAACAAGTGACGCAAATAACAAAAAATAAGTTTATTTATTTTTTGTTATTTGCGTCGCTTGTTTATAAAGGAGCGACGCAAATAACAAAAAAAGTTTATCTGAAGAGTCATTTGCGTCGCTTGTTTATAAAGGGGCGACGCAAATGACTAAAAATAAGTTTATCAGAAAAGTCATTTGCGTCGCTCTTTTATAAAGGAGTGACGCAAATAACAAAAAATAAGTTTATCTGAAGAGTTATTTGCATCGCTCCTTTATAAAAGAGTGACGCAAATAACAAAAAATAAGTTTGTCAGAAGAGTCATTTGCGTCGCTTATTTATAAAGGAGCGACGCAAATGACAAAAAATAAGTTTATCAAAAAAGTCATTTGTGTCGCTCCTTTATAAAGGAGCGACGCAAATGACTCTTATTTGTGTCACGCCTAGGAGCGACGCAAATGACTTAAAAGTCATTTGCGTCGCGAGCAGTTGCGTCGCTCATAGAAGCGACGCAAATACACTATAAATGAGCGACGCAAATGAGCCTTTTTCTACTAGTGACCCCTAATCCGCTTCCAATGGTCCCAGGTGACCAGTTACCTGTTGAAAAGGTAATTTTTTTTTGGTTTGAAATACACGTGTCACTACATAATTTGTCCAAAAATTTTAATAAAAAAATGAAAAAAAACCCCTCCACCCCAGCCACACCTGTCCAAGCCACCCCTAAGCCACCACCATCCCCACCTGACCATAACCCACCACCAAGCCCACCTGAACGCAACCCACCAAATTGAAAAGCCACTCCCAACCGACGCCGACCGGAACCCTAGCCTAACCAACCCCAAAACTCCTTCAAAACCCACCAACCCCATGCCCATTCGAAACCCCCACAAACCCACGTCGGAATCAGGTCGGGGACAGGTGAAAATGGTTCGGCAATTCGTGGATAAGGGTAGGGGAGGCACCGTGATGGGGGAGGGAGGTAGGGGCAAGGACGCTCGACGCGGCTGGAATTCGGGAAAGGGGAAGGTCGACGCAACCAGAGGGGGCAGGGGATGTCGGAAAATCCGAAATTGGGGGTGGTTGCGAGGCTGGATTAGGGTGATAAACGGGGGGGCAAGGGAAGTCGGAAAAGTCTGGATTGGTGGCTGGGAAGATCGGTGCGTCGGGAACGGTGGCTGGGAAGGTCGGCGCGCCGGGAATGGTGGCTGGGAAGGTTGCCGCGCCGAGAACGGTGGCTGGGAAGGTGGTTTTCCTGGTGGGTGGTTTTAATATTAATTATTTTTTTAACTTTTTTTATTATTATTTTTTTAATTTTATTATTTGGTCTAATCGGGTGTCGACACGTGTCAAGTAACTTGCTAAAGCAAGTTAAGTGACCGGTTGGGACCAATAAAAAAGATCGGGGGGTAAAGGTGGGATTATTAAAAAAATAATCCAAAGGTGGGATTATTTTCAGCGGACGGGCGAAAGGTCGGATTATTGCGGGCAATTTTTCAAAAAAAAAAAAACTCCTAAACCATGGTTACTCTACCTAATTAATATTCCTCCTTCACCATTTCTAAACACCCTCCAAGCTTCTTGCTCCGAATTCACACTAATTCTTCTCATTTATCATACAATGCTCCAGGATTGGTTATTCACCAATGATAAATTCGTCTTTATGGTTTTCGAAATCTAGGGTTCTCCCATTTTAGGGTTTTCGAATTTTAGGGTTAATGGTTTATGATTTTGTTGATTAACATAGGCCTTTTGTATTTTACTTTGAATTAAGCTATCAATTATGCATAATATGTTATTTTTCTTTAAATTAAAGTATATATCAACAAATTATAGAGTGGAATTGTAAATTGTTACTTTTCGTTCCTCCCACTTCTATGATCCCTCCCTTTTTCCTCATTGCTCGAATTTCTTGTCAATTTTGCAAAGTAAATGATTCATTGCAAATCAGGATATTTGTGACGCCAACTTATAGAGTGTTCTTCAATAATGGAGGCTGAAGGTTAGTGGGTTAAAGTGAAATTGTGAGAGAAAAAGAAAGGATAGGGGTTTTAGTTTAGAAGGGGTAATTATGGGTTAAGGGTTTTTTTTTTTTTTTTCTTAAATGCTTAACTAATGGTTAAACGTAGTTTTAGGGGAAAGTGACATCATCAATGGCCTAAAGTGGAGTTTAGTAGTAAAATCAAATTTTTAAAAATTTTTACGGTAGTAATTCACAAGTTTTTTTAATTTGCGGTAGTAATTTTCAAAATGACAATAATACGCGGTAGTAATTGGCAAATTTTCCTATATTCAATTAGTATATTATATTCAATTCACCTTACTACATAAGTTGAAATGATATTTCAAAAAAAAAAAGTATAAGGCCCTGTTCAATTCACCTTAAATAAAAAAATATTTAGTATAAATAGTTTCATTTCACTAAAAATAAGTTTAGTTCGGTAAAATTAATTTCAATTCAGTAAAAATGATAATTAAGTAAAAATCAGTAAAATTAAAGAAGAAATATAATAAAGAATCAATAAAAAAAAATTCAGTTCAATAAAAAAAAATGTTCAGCAAAATTAAGGTGAAATGAACAGGGCTTAATTTATATTAGTTTATTTTAGAAATAATAAGATCAAATCAAACTTATTGTTTAATTTGGTTTTGTTTATTGTTGAATTTTTTAATTTTTGTTACTTACAAAATTGTGAAAATTTCATATTTTAAAAGTGCATATAAATAGGAATATTATGACATCTTATCTAGCAAATTACAAATTAGTACATAAATAAGGTCAATTTTTGTAAAATCTAAAATTTCAAATTAGATTTGTTCATATGAACTAAAAATAGTAGTAATACATATTATATATACAAAGTATATTATAATAATTCATCTTTACTTTGGCTAAACTTTTGTAATGTATAAATAAGAAGAAAAAAAATTGAGTTGTTATTTTGTTACATTCTCTCAATATAATGTTTCATAACTTTTATCAATTGATAATTAGAGATATTTATGGTTGAATTTATACATTGACAAATATGATTATAAAAAAAAAAGTGTCAACCACTTTAAAACAAACAAAACTTCAATAAATCTATTATAAATCGAACTATAAATAAATCATATCATTAAGATGATTTCTTATGAGGAAATCCAAGTTTATCTCGATGATAAACTTAGACTGTTTATCACATGACAATTCTGTAATAATCTTGCGTTGGGTTTCGCAAAAACACAATAAACAAATATGGTTTCAACACTTTTTCAAGCCATGTGGTTCATTTGACATGGAAAGCTGTTTGACGGAAAAAAATAACGCTTTGGCATCGTTAACTTCTACTCCACAGGAGTTAACTAAACAGTAATAATAGTTAACTAACTAGTAAAAAAAAAACACGAGATCAAATTTTTGATTACTGATGAGAGAGGATTGAGAAGGATTCTAACAGCTCTAACAAAATTGCGATTATCATGAGTGAAGGTTTTAAATGAGATTGTGGTGTTGTCTAGATCTGGTCGAGATACGGTGGTTTTGCGACCATCTGGTTGGCATACGGTGGTAAAAATCATACCATCTCTTCCACTTTCCTTTTCGACCTTCTCTTTCCACCGCAACAAATCCAATCAGCAACTAGCACCGCCCACAATAGAGCAACCCAATAAAATGCCAGTTGCACCTCCTCACCAATTCCACACCAATTCGCTACTACCAATTCTCATTACAAACACCTCGCCACCTAATTTTACGCCCATTCACAACCACCACATCAACAATAGCAACAACTCCGAGCTGCCCCTACCCTCACGCAACTTCATCTCCTCACCCTCAACACCAGCATCGTCCATTGCACCGCAGCCAACAAACACCGACCACTACTAGAAAAAGGCCCATTTTCGACGGAAAAATTCCATCGGAAACACCCTGAAATCCGTCGGAAAAGGTTGTCGGAAAAGCGATTGTAGGAAAAACGAACTTTTTCGACGAAATTTCGTCGGAAACACTATTTTGATGGAGTTTTCCGTCATGAAACAATTTCCGGTACCGGCAAAATCCGTCATTTCTGACGGAATTTAGAATTCGGTCGGAAATTTCCGACGGAATTTTTGTCGGAAAACAATTTCAAGAAATTAAAAAAATACGCCGCGCCACCACCGCCACAGCGTATCACCACCTACCTCCAACCACCAAAAAGGCTCCTGTCAACCCCAACCAAACCTACTTCCTAACCCTAACTTTACCCACACCCTGACCACCAAAAACGCTCCTGTCAACCACCACCTTACCCACACCTTGACCACCCTAACCTGTCCACAATACCACCACCACCTTACCCACACCATGACTGCAAACACTAACCAAAACCCCACCACCACCCATACCCAGATCCACCCACCTAATACACCCAAACCCTAACCCAGACCTGACCGAACCCTAACCCCCACCCTAACCCTAACCCTAACCCTAACCCTAACCTGTAGGAGTTTATAGGTACTACGGAGCGGAAATAATATGAATCATATTCAATTAAACACCTAATCCAAGAATCGCATGCATAACACACAAGACACATAATCATACATTTGATGCGTGAATTCCACGAAGCTATTCGACAGGCAAATCAGGGAGAGAATAGAGCCCCAAGCGTTGCTCCTCTACTTAGTCCACGAGCTTCGAACGAGCCGTCCACCAATACTAGATTGGTCGAGTGATTGAGGAAAACCGCGATCGCCACCTTTTCGGGACAAGGACTGACCACCACGAATCACCACCACCACGAACCACCACAGGAGGCGCCGGGAAGGAGAGTGCCATAAGAGAGAGGA